CCTAAACCCTAAACCCCCACACCCCAAACCCCTCAATGGCCCGAGGATCAGCTGCGCCAGTAGCCCGCGCCGCTTCGAGGGCGCGACTCGACGCCAGGCCTCCAAGAGGCCTCCCACTAATGTAGGGTTTAGGGTTTAGGGTTTTAGGGTTTTAGGGTTTAGGGTTTAGGGTTTTAGGGTTTAGGGTTTAGGGAATATACTATAGTTCAGGGTTTAGGGCTTGAGGGGTTCAGGTATAATAAAATATACTATAGTGTACCATGACATACTCTAACATACTGCAATACACTATAACATATTCTAATACACTCTAATATAATCATTACAATGGAGTATAATGCACTACAACTCCATGCCCCGCCGGGTTTGGGCCCAAGAACCCTCAAGCCTTACTCTCCCCCCCAATGGAACCAAAAAGCCCTCCCACCAAAAAAAGGAAGCCTTCATGCTCAGAATGGAGGTTTCTTATGTTTAGGGCTTAGGGGTTTAGGTTTTATATTAAGAAACCCCAAGGAATGGTCGGCTTCTACACCAGATCCAAACTGTAGGCCCAAAGCCCTGAATCCCTCAAAACCCCCCTAAGCCAACTCTTGGGGCCTCTCTTCTGCAAGGACGTCTTCAAGTCCGCGGGCTCGATCATCTTATCCACGTCATCCAAGAAATTCCAGGAGCCGTCCTGAAAGGCATACGGGGGTTTTGTCATTATATCTCCCTGCAGACTGCTTCTAACTGAAAACAGTCTGGGCATTGTCATGATGTCTCTTGTTGTATGAATAGCGACCATCAAAAATGATCGCTGATTGCTTCTGCTGGTTGTTGATGTTGTTGTTCTTGTTGCTGTTGGTAGTACAATTACACGCACTATCAGTCTCAGTCTATATCACTATTACAAAAGGGACCCCCAAACCACCTAAGCAACAACCATGAGCTTGGGATCTCCCATAATCCCCTAGGGATATCCCACCTTAAAGTTTTTGTTTTTGTGCTTTGTGGCTTCCTGATTCGAATACGGCACATGACGTGTTCTCAGACTCAATATCCTATACGCTTTTTGTACACTTTGGCTTTTGATCTGTTTAACTAACAGGAGTCTTGAAGCAACCTGCTGAATCCTGACCCCTGCGCAACTCCGGAGTCTCCGTGTAGATGCCAGATGGGGGTTTCCGAAAATAAGGGACCCTAATATAGTACCCTAAATAATAGGATCCTTATTATAAGGACCCCAAAATAAGGTACCCCTAATATAGTACCCTAAATAATAGGATCCTTTATAATAAGGACCCCAAAGTAAGGTGCCCCTAATCTTCGGAAAGTCCCAGATTGACGATCAGGCAGCGCTGACTGACACACGGCTGCTCTCTCATGACCTTGACGTGAAGACCTTCACTAAGAACCCTAGTAACCAGTGTAATCCTATTCGAGAGACAGGGCTTCTCAATCAGGGATTTCGATCAGCATTTAGGCCTTAAAGCTTTTCAGGATCTAGGGGGCATAGTTTACAATTATGCGGTATATAGGGCTTGAGTTTCAACATGTAAAGGTGTGTCTCCCGAACTCTCTGCTGCAAATCGCCAAGCTCCGGATCTTACCCCCGTCAACGTCAAACCCTTAACCTATCCCTCCTTCTTGGCTTGCTCGATCTTGGCGCGCCCGCTGGGCTGCATTCGGCCAGCTTTCTCCAGCTGAGACACCTGGCACGCAGATTGGAGCGCCGCGGAGCATAATCTAGCTTCCCCACTAGACCCTTTCCTAGTCTTTGGACTTAGTATGGGACTCCAAAAAACAAAAAGGGTACTACTGGGGAACCTAGTAGTGGAGCCCAACATAAGCCCCGTGGCGATTCAGACCTCTACTTCGTCTTCGATCCTGCAGAGCCGAGGCACATAGGTCTTGTTGAGGGAAGACCACACGCTGCCCTTCCTTGGAAGCTCGGGAAGCTGGAGAGGTTGCGGGCATTCCCCAGATGAGAATGGCCAGACCCGAAGGGACCAAGCTACGGAACAATCGGGCCAGGCAGCAGTGCATGTTTAGGAGTATAATCGCACAGCCAAGCGATAGCAGTCTACAAATCTGTCAGTGGCGGTAGCCGTGATCCTTTGTTTGAAAGGGTTGTGCCTCAAGTCTAACCCTCATTTCAACCTAAGTCTGCATGACGCTGGCAGCTCGACGATCATCGTCTTGAACTAGTCTTGAACTCAGCTTGCAATATTATCACGGCGTGTTAACGCAGCAGCAATCAAAGTCAAACGGTCGGAAACGATCTGCGCTAGGAAAGTGCCACACATACATGCCCGAAAACACCCACGGACAACACATGCACAGTTGCCTCAACAATGGATCTTCATCAGTCAAAGGATGTCGAAATGAATTCTTGGAAACTCGCAAGTTTTTGTACATGTCATTCTTCGCATCAACGAGACAACTCCCATGGAACAGTCCGTCGGAAAGACTCTCTGCAATTCTTGGACACAACTTCCGTGTGCCTTCTCCATGCGACCTTGACATTAACACCCAAACCGCAAACGCGACGCTTAAACCCTACGAATCTCCCCAACCACACAGTACACAGAACCGTGGCTTCTTTCACTGAAGGTTCCGCAGGGAACCTTCGAAGGTCGGAGCTCCAAAACAAAGGAACGATGAGTGGTGTAGGGTTTAGGGTTGAGGGTGTAGGGTTTTAGGGTTTAGGGTTAATGTGGGGTTTAGGGCTTTGGCTTCAGAGTGAGGAACATAATCACCATGGCCATATGAACATTGCTGTTGCTGATGACATTGCAGCTATGATGGAAGCAGGCTTCTGAGCTTCGTAAGACTATTCTGTCCACCCGAAACCCTACAGGTATTACGAGCCCTAAGAGCCGGACCCACCCTAAATCGTCCTGAATCCTGCAATTCAGCCATACAAGCCTTTAAGCCCTAAGCCCTACAAGCACTGTAAGCCTCAAAACCTTAAACTCGAAACCGTCTTCAAATGAAACGCAACGAACCTTTCTGATCCAGTCGAGGCTCCGTCGCGGGGAAATTAGCAACCTCAGGCGTGCCGAGGAGGTCATCGCACACATTCAAGTTTGGGGTTCAAGGTTCCAGTTTAGGGACCGGACTGCTTGGACTTTTACGAGATTTGCCAAGCGTTTGCAGGTTGAGGGGTTGGATGCAAATGGGACAAATGGGACGACAAGGCACTGTGATCCATCGTTTTTTTTACGCGCTTTTAGGGGGAGTGGGGACAGCTGCGGCTAATGCGAAGACAAGAATCGCCAAATAGCAGGAACAAGCTCTAATATGCACACAGCACGAGAATGAGGAAACATCGTGCGAAGTTCTTCGTCTCGGCGGGGACTGCTCCCCCATGGCCGGATTCACGGATTGCACCTGTCTTCGTTGGTCGCTGTCGAATTCCTACACAACTGGAATGCGGGCTTCGTGTTCCAAAACATTCATACCCAGCTCGAACCTGCTAACATCCTTAACAACTGCAGTAATAGAATGCCAGCGTAAATCTAAACCGCAAAACAGGACCTTCGAAGCCATGAGAACGGAAAACCATTTCAAAACCCATGAGGCCAGAATGCGTACGACTCCCACCCCAAAACGCTGACGGGACGATGGCAGGAGGACGATTTTTGGAGGTGCCAACCCGAATCGCAAGCAATGCGTGCATGTCACTGTGGTAAATATGGGTGCACGTAGGCATGTATGATTGTGTCTGTGGGTAGTTCTCCAAATTAGGGTCCCGGTTTAGGTTCCCAATATAGTACGGCACCCTTATTAAAACAAGGAGCCGAAAAGGAGCCCTGATTTAGAGAACTACCCATGTATCAGAGGCCAGCGACAAGCTTCGCTGCTCGTCGAGTTTGCGGGCCTTCAGCTTTGGCTTTGGGGCTTTCACGGCAGACATCCCGGTGGTGTTTAGTAGGGTCTATTGGCGGTTTAGGTTTAGAGGGATGCAAAAAAACCCTAAACCCTAAACCCCAAACCCTAAACCCCAAACCCTAAACTTTTTCGGTGGTTTTGGGGGATGGAACAGGGCTGTAGATCTTCCGTGTATCAGGATTTTAGGCCTGATGTTAGTGGTCCCATTATTGGAAACATGGTGTTAGAGCATCTTTGAGTTTTGGGTAATGGACCTCCGACGATAGAGACTTTGCGCCTAGTAGTCGCTTAGTAAGCCTGGAAGCTACGCTTCGGGTTTCCGGCTGGAAAAGAGATGTCATATATACTAGGTTACCCCAAACACTAAACCCCAAACCGTTATAGCTTGCACATTCTCAAACGATGCTGGTTGTATTAGTTTAGGGTTTAGGGTTTGGGGGGGTTTAGGGTGTAAGTTGAAGGGTTCTATAAACAGGTCTGCTAAGGGATCCTCGAAGGGCTCCTCAAGGGCCCTACAAGGATTTTCGGTGTAGGATCGTCCTGGTTTCGGAGAGGTAGAGAGGCCTAAAAGTAAGGGGCTCCGAAGACGGGATCACCCAAGAAACTATGGAGTTTAAGGCGTTCTCCTTCTCAGGAAAGTTCCGAAATCCGCTGGCATCTGTTTGGGAGGCCGGAAACACCACAGTTCACAAACGTGTGCCCCTGAACAACCTAGCCCTTTCTGAGGAGAAGCGCACCTGACAAAGGCAAAAGTCTCAGAGCTAAAGCCCTTACACACCAGATCCTAGGGCTTAGGGTTTAGGGGTTTAGGGTTTTAGGGGTTTTAGGGCTTTAGGGTTTGAGGGTTTAGGGTTTAGGGTTTGTTAAATCCTGAACCACGACTTTACCTCAACCCGGGCTTGGTCAGCTGGGATGCTTGAGTCAGGAGCCTAGGGTTTGGGTCTTCCCTCGCCTTTTGGAGATGCAGGGTTTTAGGCTGTTACTTCTTTCCGACGCGCTCTTCGCACCATAATCGCACCTATCTATAGTTTTAATACCCCTTCGAGTTTTCTTTGTAACAAGAAACAACACTAACAGCTAACAGCACTAAATTGGCAGGCTGTGGCTCAGCTCTACAGGCTTGGCTTTAAAGCCCAGCAGTATCTTGTGCCAATGCCAAGGCCCTAGTTTAGGGTTTAGGGTTCAACCGTAAGTCCCGAATTCTAGACCCCAAAAGGGTTTGGGGCTTTCAGCTTGCAGGGTTTAGGGTTTACCCTAACCCCGAACCGTGAACAGAACCCTAAACCCTAAACCACTAAAACCTAAACCCCAAACCCCCAAGCCCTAGACCCTAAACCCCTAAACCGCTAAACCCCAAAATTCGAAACCCTTTCCTGCCCTGCGGCGTGACTGTCGATCCATCCCCATGCCAGGGCTTCGGAGACGATCTCCTGTATCACTGCTGGCATTCTGTGCTGATACCAGTAACAGTACTAGGACTGTTACTATTACTATTACTATTATTTTATTATTATTGTTATTCTTGCTATTATCAAATCAATATTACTCTCCTTGTTGCTACCAGTCAACTATTATTGTGATTATTATCCTTATTATGATGGGTATTACTTGTTTACGATCATTGTGATTGTTGTTACTCGTACTACTGATTATCACTGGTATTACAAGCGGCTTCATACCTATAGAGTAGCTAGCGGCTGAGACCCCTTTTTCACGGCTTCGGCTTTAGGGTTTGGGGATTTGATTCATGTCGCGAGGGCTTGGCTTGGGATTTAAGGATGCAAGCTTCGGGCTCTCAGGTTTAGGGTTTAGAGGCTCTAGGATCGATTGTTTACGTCCAGGGATTAGGCCTCACTGCTGACAGTTGCTGAGGTCTGAGAGACGCCTGGCTGCATAAGTGACCCCAAAGAGATGAACAACTCACTGGATCCTTCCACCTCGCGACGAAGCCAGAGAACCCAATACCCCTTAGTTAAGGAATGTACCTTAAATCATAATATTCAGGCCCCTATATTTTAAGGTAGATTCCTCAATTAAGGGGTATTGGGTTCTCTGGGAAGCAGCAAGTGTTGAAGGGTTTTGCAAGGTGCTGTCGCAGGTCAGGTATGCGTGGATGAACTTGCATTCTAACACGTTCCTGCTGCACTGCAAGCCATCTACCCGGAAGCCTCCGCCGTTGTAAATTGCAAACAAAGGGATGCCTCGATTCCTGTAGCTGAACCTGAGTTTCTGAACAAGAACCCAGCGAACCGCGAAACCAGACCATGGGCAGTAGCTTGCCGTGCTTCAAACATGACGGCGTGGAGTTCAGACAGGTTGATGGCTGAGGGTCACGGGTTCCTTTCCCAGACCCAAACCCTAAAGCCTTAGGCCTACATTTCGCCGGCCTAGGGCCCACGCCACCGAATCAGCCCCCAAGCCCTAAACTGCCCTAAACCCTTAACCCTATAAAGCTTGGGGCCCAGAATCAGCAAAGCGTCGGGCAGAGGCACGTGAAACTTCGTCCCTTGCTTCCATCGGGTGATCCACACGGACTTGTCCTTCGACGCTTGTCTTCGGCATTTAGTGTCTAGGGTTCAAGGCTTAGGGTTTAAGGTTTGAGCACTGATTCGGCAACTCGACTACTAGGCACTTTATTTGCTCCTCTTCCTCCTCCTCATCATCACCGTCATGTACCCCCCTCCTCCTCTTCATCATCATCGCCCATAGGATTGCATGCTCGGCGTTTTCATGACGGCTTCTGTCGGTTGTCGACAGAAGCAATAGCCTAGTGTAAGTGAAAAGCACGAGTGGAGCAGGAATGAGGTCACTGTGTATGTCAAACGGCACTGCAAGAACTCGGAGGTGAGGACATTTACAGAAACAGAAGCCAAAACCTCAAGCAGCAAGAGCTGACAATGTAAGGGTGCTCAAAGCCCGACGCACAGTTTGAGCGGCATCTCCTGTGTGTGGTGCGCCTTCAGCCAGCGTGCCAAATCTTTGGCACTGCGCACATCTACCTGCTCCTGAGGCTCATTCAGCATGGACGCAGGCTCAAACACTAAAGGCCCTCAGCCTTAGTCAAAATCAACGCCTGGAGCCCTAAAGTCTTTTCTCCAGACTTCAACCTTAAACCTCCAATCCCCTCACCCATAAGCCGGGATTAAGATTTCTTCTTCTACAGCCTAAGTTTGCCTAAGTACTAAGTCTCGAGAACTTGGGATGCCGAAGTCCGGGGTCTTTGACTGGCTGCTGAGCGTAGTGTATGGGGTTTAGGAACAGGGCTTAAGGTTCAGGGTTTAGGGGTTTAGGGTTTAGGGTTTGGGGGGGATTCGGGAATGCTCGAAACGAAAACGCGTCCCTTTACCATGATGTGCAGGCCACGAAACTGCGAAAGACGACGAAAACGCCGCGTGCTGTGAGCATGAGTTAGCTTCACCCTAAACCCTAAAGCCTAAACCCTAATTCTCATCTTTTCCACCATGAGACGAGAACCAAAGGGACAAGACTGATTTCAACACTTTCGGGCGTCCGAAGCTAGCGAACCAAATCAGATCTCATAACATGAACGGTTCTACCAGAAGACAACATGTGGGATGTGAGAAATCAGCGAACTGCTAGACACTGAAGGGCACCAGACTATCAAAGGAAGAGATATGACTGCCAAAGTTACTCGGTTAAGACCAAAAATACCTTTGCAATCATCATCATAGCGGCACCTATACTCCGAAGCTTAGGATCTTGTGTTCATGTGTCCCCGCAGACCCTACATAAACCGCAAACCGGTAGACTTTAGAATCAACTACGAGTCCTAAGGCCTAAATATCTTCCCCTTACAGCAACTCTTACAGCAAGCACACCAGTTGATGGCCGTGGAGCGAAGTCGCCCAGCCCCCCTCCGAGCATAAGTGCAAAGCTTGCTTTCGGTTTTGGGGGCTGTTCTGCTTCCTCCACAGACGGTTTAGGGTTTAGGGTTTAGGGACAGGTTTTTTTTGGGGGATCCTGTCATGGCTCTATCCAGGGCTTTTGGGTTGCGAGTTTCGGGCTTGGCGTGCAGCGGCTTGGGATTCAAATTGCCCTAAACCCTAAATCCCAAACCCTAAAACACCCCTAAACCCTGAAAGCCCTAAACCCTAAACCCTAAATTCATCTTTGTGGATTTCTTGCCCCCCCCTGACTCCGGTCCTCATGGGGTGGACCCTTGATGATTCAGAATTGGAGCCCTTCATCCGCACACTGCCCCTTCGACAGCTTGCATGCTGAGTCGAACTTAGGCAAAGGCCCTTGGGCATGAGTTTGCAGTAGTAGTCATTAGGGCAACTGAGGACCCCACAACCTGTCGTAGTAGGACTGTAGTACTAGCAAAATAAGTAATTATGCTTCATTTTCGGACAAACTAATACAATAACACTACTAATAACAACAAGAAGCAGAAGAACAAGAAGGCTTCGGGATGCAGGTTGCTAACATCCCACAAGCACAATCTCAAATTACCTCCTGAAAGGCCCAGAATAGCACGCCTTGAGTGATGGGCTTCACCGTCGTCGCCGGTTTCTTCTTCGGAGACTTCTGCTTGGCCACCATATCAAACGCTTCCGGGAGCTCTGGCAAGACAAGAGTCTAGCGCTGGAGGATTTACTTGTGGAGGCTGCCGGTTTGGGTTTCAGATGACGGATGTGCGCAGTTGTGGTCACTGGGCCTAGTGAATTGAAGCCAGCATAGGGCTGCAATGTACTAAAACTGCTAACACATTAACTTAAAACCCATTTGTTAGATCCCAGGGCTCGGCTATATACGCCCCCCCCCCCCCAGCCACAAAACTAAAGCCGAATAGGGGCCGAATTGCAACAGGGGTTTGGGTGCATTCTACTCTGCTCATAGAGGGGCCGCAAGGGGAGCATGCTGCGGTTGGGGGCCTTCAGTGTTGAGCGCATGCAAAGGCTTGGCTTTGAGCCTGAATTTGGGCATCCGGACATCCGCCACTGGGACAGCCCTAAACCGACCCTAGGTTTCGAGAGGGTTTTAGAGTGCAGAGTTTTCAAGCTGTGCTGATCTGGCGTAGGGATCTGAAACACTATAACACCCGTATAAAGACTGCATAAAGAAATTGAACGTTGAGATTCCAAACCGCTTTTAATTAGGGAATAAGGAAGACTTTAAGCCATAACATCCAGCCCTCTATCGTCTAAGGCATAGGGAGTCTCTGGGCATCGAAGCCCATGAAGAGTCGCCTTGCTTTATAGGTTTGTCTTCTTCTTATGGGAGTTTCATATCAGGGTCCCCAATGCTTATGCTCTTGGCCAAGAGTTTTGGCTTAGAGCCTACGATGTAGGGCTGGGGTTCCAAAATCAGGGGTTTAGGGTTGGGGCTGCGGGTGTAGGCTTTCGAAATTGGGGTTGCTTGTTGCTTCATTCAGAGGATCCTTCTTTTCAAGAACCCTCATGCGAATCTCCTGGGCGAAAGACCCCCCAATAGCTCCCAACGATCACCCCTAAATAAAACCAAAACCGAGTCCTCGCAATCGTGTCCCTAAAATGTCACTTCCGGGGGCCCTACGTGCGCGAAGATCGAGAAGAACGCGGGTGTCGTGCTGAGGAAAACTGCAGTGAATCCAAGCCTTGAAGAACAAAACTGCTGTGAAGGTTTAGGGGTTACGGTTTTTAGGGATGTATGGTTGGGTTTGGGATTAGGGGCTTAAGGTTCTTTGCACCTCCAGCTCTTCACCCTTCCACCTCCCCCCTCCCACCATCACCATCATCATCATCATCGTCATCATCATCATCATCACCATCATCACCACCATCACCATCATCCCAATCATCATCCCCACCATCACCATCATCATCATCACCACCACCACCACCACCATCACCATGATCATCACCATTCATCATCATCGTCATCATCGTCATCATCATCATCATCATCATCGCCATGCACCGTCATGCATCCTCCTCCTCGTCATCATCATCATCACCATCATCATCCATCGTCGCCATCATCATCATCATCATCGTCAGAAAGGGAGCAGTAGCCCAGTTAGGCATACAAGGTAAACGAAACTTGTTGCATGATGAACAGCTAAACGATGACTACCAGTACCCTGAATTGCATCAAGCGGCGGGCCGTTTTTTTTTGCAGTTTTGTTTTGCTGTGCTTGCTGAGGCATCAAACAGCCCTGCCACCCACGAGACCTCGTGCCGAACAGTCAAACCGACAGAAATCGGCTACCCTGCACCCCTCAGCCCTCACCGCTGCAAACCCTAAACCCATACCTCCAAACCTCAAATCGGCAGAATAAGTGCCGAGGTTGGAGCGTGAATGACAGGCACCACTCATCGTTGTGAGGTGGCCAGTTCCAGTATCTGGCTTTTCGGGGCGGTGCAAAGCTTGGGGTTCGATTTTGGAGATGAGGTTTTTGGGTGCCGTTGGGGTTTTAGGGTGGGTTTGCGTTTCGGCGTGGGAGTTTCGGATCTGGTTTTGGGGTTAAGGTCCGAGATTGATTCAGCCGATTCACGCCGACGTGAACAGTTGAAAACGCAGTGAAATGGCAATGACTGCTCTCAGGGTTTAGGGTTTAGGGTTTTGGGTTCCGACCGGCGGCCCTGAACGATCCTGACATCTCATCTCAATCCCACATGGTAAGCACAATCAGTACCAATAGTCTCAGCTACAGCGTCCTTTCAACACGCCAACCTCGGGACGTAGCCGCTATGCCAGGGGCTCTAGAAGCCTTAACCCTAAACCCTAAACCCTAAACCCTTAACCCTAAACCCTAAACCCTAAACCCTAAACCCGATGCATATGACCGGAGGCTTCGCAGATGGGCCTGAGATCCTGAATAGTCCAATCTAGAAGCCTTCAGGCCTTTAGGATTAGAATGGGGGCTTGGGGAACAGCATACGAAACCTTCTATTAGGGAACCTTAATGAACGGTATTTGCAAGTGTAAGTAATCAGGCTTCCATGTTTGGAGGGTAGATAGGCTGGGGTTTCGGTCATAGTACGCCGTGCTTGTGTAAGCAGTATACCCGACTTCAGAAATCTAGCGAATCTAGCTCGATGACGCTGACAGTTTGACTGCATCCCGGGCACAAGTCATGCACCACACAGATGAGGTTCAAGAGAACGGCGATGAACCAATTGCCTGCAGCAGCAAAGCCGTAAACCTAAACCCTAATCCTAAATCCGAATCCTAACGCCCAAATTCCTAAACTCCAAATCCGAAGCCTTAAACCCGAAGCATTACACATCATTACACAAATTCGAGTGCCTGGGCCTTAAAACCGAAACCCACAAGTCCGAAAAAGCAGCCCAACATCTGACAAAGATCTCCGTGAGCCGCCCGGGCACAAACTGGCGGCCGAAGTTGAAGTCGGAGCGCCAAACCCTGAACCCCCTGAAGGGTTCCAGCAGGGAGTTTGGGGGTTCAGGGCCTGGGGTTCCTTTAAGGGCGGCTCCTTTATGGGTCTACGATAGGGCTTTTTTCGGAAGTAGGAGACAGGCCCAATAAGGGACCCCACATGTTGGAATCCTAAACCTTAAACCTCCCCAAACAAAACAACCCCCCGAAGCCCCAAGCCCGAAACCCAAGATCCCAAGCCCTGAACCGAAAACTCAATTCCGCAATATCCCAAACCCCTAAACCCCAAACCCTAAACCAAAAACCCTAAACCCACACCCCTAAACCCTAAACCCACCCAAAAGATCGGCCAGGAGGCTCAGGACGATGTGTGCCCAGCAAACGCTGCAAAACGGCGGAACCGACCTCACAGCTAGCTATACTCCCCAAACTCTGGCCCCAAAAAGGGGTACGGTTTAGGGTTTAGGATTTAGGGTTTAGGGTTTAGGATTTAGGGTTTAGGGTTTTTTTTTAGGGTTTAGTTTTTTTTTTAGGGTTTAGGGTTTAGGTAGTAGGGTTTAGGGTTTAGGTAGTAGGGTTATATAAACCCCCAAAGGGTTAAAGTTACCTAGCCACCCCCTATCGCCTTAAGAGTGACAAGGGTCAACTTGGGCGAAGGCTTCTACAACGTTTCCACAGGGTCTTTAATAAGTTTCCAAGGTCTTTAAAAGGGTTTAGTGTTCAGCGTTTTTGGTCCAGGGTTTCGGTCGTAGCTTTCAGCGAGTTTTTGGGAGCATCATGCATAAATAAGTACACCTGACGCCGTCAATAAAAACACACCCTAAACCTTGCATCCTGTACTCGTGCTGTGCCCTGCGCACTGAATAGAAGCAGCGGCATGAAGAAGCCTAAACCACAAGCGCAAGAGAGTGATAAGATCCGGGCCTTGCTGGAGTATAGTGTAGATAGTAGAGTATAAGTATAATAGAGACCGTAAGGATAGTGCTAACGTTTACTCAGGCTTTTTGCGTTTACTCCGCTCCCAGATCCTTTCAGCAGGGCTCAGCATCTGAGAGTGCAAGGTTTGGGGGCGAGAGGTGCTTTGGGTGCCGGAATAATTAACATGGTACACCCTTATGAAAATGACACCATAATACCGTGAGTCCAGTATACTACGACCTACCCAAAATCCTAGACTTCTAACTGTGAGGGCACCCATATTACACATAAACTCCAAACCCTAAACCCTAAACCCCAAAACCCTAAACCCTATAACCCTAAACCCCAAAACCCTAAACCCCAAACCCTATAACCCTAAACCCCAAAACCCTAACCCCCAAACCCTATAACCCTAAACCCCAAAACCCTAAACCCTAAATCTATAAATCTATACGACCTTCTCCAACTACTGAGGCCCGGAGTCCAAGGAAACGGCCTCACCATGAGCGAGAAGATGCGGCGCTGAGCGTGGGGCTTTAGACTTCTAGAGGTCTAGGGTTTAGGGTTCAGGGGTTAGGGTCTTGGGTTTAGGGGTTAGGGTTTTGGGTTTAGGGGTTAGGGTTTAGGGTTTTGGGTTATAGGGTTTGGGGGTTAGGGTTTTGGGGTTTAGGCAAGTGTAGTGTTTAGGGTTTGCCTCCACCCCTGAACCACCCTCAACCCTAAACCCTAAAAGCTATACTCTCAAAGACCCTAAGGCCTCCATCAGTACATTGGGGGGTCGTGGAGGCCGCAGGTTCGGGGGGCCTTGTTGGCTTGCCGGGCCCTTCCGAAACTTGCACATGGAGTCCGATCTGCGAGAAGTCAAGAGTGACCCTAAGAATCTTAGGGTTTAACTGGTTTAACTACGGTTTAGTTTGAGGGCCTAGGGTTTAGCCATGTGTAGCCCTGAAGCCTGAGTCTGCTCAGGCTTTGGGCCAAACCCTTAGACCCTCACACCAGGCCCGAAACCGGTCTAACGTGTTGACGGATCAGGGTGCCGGGACTCTGTGCGCAGTGTTGAAATGCCACGCCTTGGGCTAGCCCCCTACCCACAAGTAGTGACCACAAGGGAGATTGACAACTCTCCTCCTGCCGCTCTGCTATCTTCCTGCGCAGATTCAAGAGCTGGGGTTTAAACCCGAAGCTCTAAACCAAAAAACATCCTAAACTCTACAATCATGCCTCTCCGGCCTGCCTTAACCCCTGTGTTTCACAGCCCTCTGGGGCTCTGGGTTTGGCTAAAACTAAGTACAAATGTTATGTTT